TATTTAATTTTATATTTCATATTCTGTTGTTAGAAATTATTAAAGTATAGGAAACTGCTTTAAAATACTATGAGCGCATTCCTGTATATTTCAACAAGCCAACATTAGGAATCATTCAGTTGTAAATGCAACAATTTTTAGACTAAAACCTTAAAAATTTTACTTTAATCAGAAAAAACTTTTATCCCTCACCTGATTACAAGTATCAGATAGAGAGTGTATAGCTTCAGAAAACATACTCGCTGAACCCGTATAAATCCAGGCAAGGAATTTAAAGAAGCAGTTTAATCCATTGCTAGGAGAAAAGAGAAAACAATCAAACATAGAGTTTGCTAACAATTTCCATCAAAAGTTTATCTTATTGACCATATATACTTCTAGACTAGATTCTGCTCAAAGGGAAATAAAAATAATCCCTAAACTTGAAGAGCCTTTTATATTTTATGTAATAGATATAAATGTGAAACATACAGATAATGGTTTCATTAAATACTCAAATGAAAAGGTATGATATGTCTAAAGCAAATTAATTCAGTGCATTATGAGAACTACTAAGGGGAAGTGGGTGTTCTGCATTTGGACTAAGTGAAACTAGAATGGAAATTATGCATTAAGAAGATCTGCACTTAACATTGTTCGGGAGACAATGTGAAAATAAGACTGTAGTGAATTCCTATTTGTTTACATAAGGCAGATATCCAAGGTCAAGACAAATGTAGACCAATCAGATTTCAGGGTCACACTAGAAGGTCATAGATATTAAAATAAATATGGTTATTTCTGATGAAGCTAGTTGCTCAGATTCTAATAGTGATGATTGGCTGGATTTAGCAGGCATTAATCACTTTACCATGCTTTATTACAACTCTGTAATCTAAATAAAAATAAACATCCTCATCTTATAAATAAGGAAACCACACATCTTCCAGCTACCTGTTTCCCTTCTTCACTTCAAATTTCTTGAAAAGAATCATTTGCTCTTGCTGTTTTCCTCATTTTGCACTACTTCTTCAATCCATGAAACAATGGCTTCTGCCTCAGATACCTCTTTCAATTGGTCTTATAACCACCAGTTTCTTGCTATTGAATTCCTAGAAACATTTTAGTAATTTTGATAATCTCAGAAATAGTTGTCAATATTTTCTTAAACTGCTTTGTTGGCTTCCATGACATCCCAAGTTTTCTTCCTACCTTGCTCCATATTCTTCCTCTACAGAATCTTTTCCTCTACCCTATTCCTACATTTTAAGCTTTCTTCAAGTTTTTTTTTCCAGGACACTTTGCTTCCTTACTTACTCCCTACACACATACTCTCCCAGGTAGTCATAACTACTTTTATGGCTTATTATTATCCCCTACATACTCATTTAACAAACACTCAATTCTAAATCTCTAATCCAGATCTCTCTCAATGCTTCAGATTAATATACATTCACAACTATAAGTATATATCACATACCAAATTTCTGCTAAGCAGATTACATATATTACACGCATTCATTCAGTAAAGAATGATTTAATTGCAAATCCCATGATGAGATGAACTAATCTTGTTAAAGAACTTCACTTGGAATTGCTATAGATGGATAACTCAAATTCAAAAGTGAGTATGGATAGTGTCCAGGCATCTAATTTCTTTTGTTCCCATCCTGCTACTACTACTCTCCTCCAACAGATCCTTTCTCAGTAATGATGCAGTTTCTTACCTAATACCCAGACCAGATGTACCATTATTGACCTTATTTCATGAATACTTCTTGAACCTAAACATGTCTGCTCATCTTTACAATATTATCCTAGGTCACCTTTTCATCAACTCTTATTATGTAAGTTACTTCTTCCAGTATAGTATAGTGTCCCTCCTAACCTGAATTGTATTTTATATTATTTGTGCTTCTAAATCCTTTCACAATTCCTAATACATGAAAAATAAATGTGTTTTACCTAAGAAATAAAAGAGAGCTGGAAAGGTAGGGAGTGGATGGGAAAAAAAGAACTAACTACGAATTGTAGAAGTTATGCTTTTAACCACCCTAAAATAATCAGCAACATTTACAAAAAGAAAAAACAGGAATGAAAAAAGAAAGAAGAAACAAAAAAAGGTAAAAGTATAAACCATATTCTTTCAAAGTAACTGGGAGATACACTTTAGCAGCTCTAACCCTGGTTTAAATTTTAGGTATTCCAAAAATAGTATTGGCCAATTTAAGTTTTAGGTATTCTAAAAATAATATTGGCCAATTTAACTTTTTAAGAGCTTTCCATCTAAAGCAATTAGAATAAGAGGATTTTTCAGAGAGCAACTATTCTTAGATCTTAATCATATAAAAAAACATACAATGCATAAGATGAGAATCGATATTCTTTCTCCAATACTACTGACGGTGGCCAATACATAAACTTAATGAAGTCATGCTAAAATAAACTTTATATATATATATATATATATATGTTGTTTGTATCATTCTATTTTTCCTTTTTGTAAAATGTATGCTTTCTCCTCTCAGATATAGTCCCTGTAAAATTCCCACCACCAATTCACATTGTACCATCTATAGTCCATTATGCTCTTCCCTCCTGTTTTGATTCCTCTCCTCCTCCAGAAGGCTCTCCCTCACCGTCCCCTCCAGAAGGCCTCTGATTTATAGTCTCCTGATAATTTTGTTTTTTAATTTATTATAATTATTTTCCCCCAATCCCTCATTTAGTCCCCTACATTCCTCTGTAAATGAAACCATCTGAGATATATATCAATATATATATTTTTTCTTTCTGGCTTACCTCACTGAGCATAATCTCTTCCAGTTACATCCATGTTTCTAACAAATGGCATGATAAAGCAATATAAACTTAACTTTTTACCTAAATACCGAATAATAAATGTACGCATTCAAGGATATGCACATTAAAAATAGTATAGTACTACTTTAAGAGATTTACTTTTCAGTACTTACATGCAAATGGCAACCATTACCACTTTACCTGGGCCCTTAAAAAAAACTGATGTAGTTCTGGAGCGTGGCTATAAAAAAAATCAAAAACATCTCAGAGAAGACTAGAATGCATATAAATAACTCACAAACCAGAAAATATCTTCCATCAAAACCTATAAATAACTAAATGTACTTATTTCTTTTTCTGAAGAAATAATTCTTTAAAAAGTAGAAATTAGGGTCTTTCTCCAGAGTTTTATTTTATTTCTTTGTAATTCACAGAAATCCTGCCTTTTTCCAAAAAGAATCTTAGCTGGTTACATAAAAACTAGAGATAAAGATAAATCTATATTTATCTTTGTAAAGTATAAAGTATATTGATATATCTTATATCAATATAAAGTAGTGAACTGAAATTGATATATTATTAAATTTTGCCATTTTGTAAGCAACTTAACTTTTAAATAAGAGAGCTAAGTCTACCAAGTTTGCTGTTGTCATTTAACTCCTGATAGCTCCATAAAGATTAATGCCCTCAAGTGTAGTAATGTGTTCACTACCAAGTAAGACAAACATTAAAGGAAATAAAATACAAGATACATACCGACGAAAAATATTTTTTAGAGTTAAATGTTCTTTTGTTGCTCTTTGAATGTACTTTTTGGTTTTTCTCCTGTTCTTTCCTCTACCTGGAATCCTCTCCCTAGCATCTTCTAATGCAATATGTCCAAATTTTACCACCCCTTCCCATGTCTAGCTAAGTGTCACTTTTCCATGTAAAGCCATCCTTGATTCCCCACAGTGAGTAAATATTTGCTCAGCAGCACATTTATTATTGCACTTTACATTGCTATTAAACCACTCTGTATATTTATTCAAGGAATATTTATTATGCAACTACTACATGCCTGCCACAGCTCTAAATGATGAATCCATAAAAAAAATATATAATACCAGACAGTGATGAATAAGATAAAACAAATAAATGAGAAAATAATGTGTTTGGGGAAAGGGAGTTAATGGTGAGAAGAGCTATTTTAGCTAGAGGCTCAAAGATGAAATGGCTGCAAACATGAAAATATTTAAGAATGCTTCAAGCAGATGACAGTTAAAAAAGACTTTGAAATGAAAATAAGCTTGGCATAAAAAGGATAAAAATAAGACTGATACAGTTAAAGCATTGAGAGTAGGAAAAATTGCAGGAGTTGAGGCCAGAGGAGGCAGGGGTAACATCCCACAGGCCTTTGTAGACTATGTTAAGGAATAAATTTAATCCTAAGGGAAAAATAAGCCACTGAAAGATTTGAAGCAGATACTTAACAAAATCTAATTTATTTTGTAAACGATAAAGTTTATTATGTAGAAAATGAATTATGAGAGCTAAAAAAAGGTAGAGAGATTGATTAGAAGGTTACTCTAGTAAGAGACAGTGATAGTTTCTACAACAATTGGGGAAGAAGCAGTTATACCAGAAATCTATTTTGGAGAAAATGCCAACAGGACTTGCTAATGGATTTAAATAAAAATGGTTCTATAATAAATCTCTATTCATTGGAGCTTGGGTAGAAAAGCAGGGTTTTTTAGTTTTGTATTTTTTTTGTGCAAAGGAGACAGAGGAAGAAGAGGAATTAATGAAGGAGAAAGATGGTCTTGGACTCCAAGAGAAGAAGGTATTCCAAGAAAATGAAATAATTACCACTGATGGTGGCACTTAAATGCTTATCATCACTACTCTGATTTACATGAAGAGAGATTGTAGCCACCTCCCCATTCACACTGTTGACCTCCTACAGATAATTCCTCCCTCTTTGCCACTGGCTTCCAGAGAGGATTAGGTAACTGATACATTTGGGGGAAACCTGGGAGTGCTTATTTTGGGATTTATTTTATGATTTTGTCCACATTTTATTGTTCTTCTATGACTCCATATCTGGGCAAGAAAGGTAGAGGTGGTTATTTTATTTTATTTTTTTTAAAGATTTCTTTATTTGCATACAGAGCTGGGGAACAGGCCAAAGGTGCAGGGACGGTGAGAGGATTCACCAGAAACAGAGTAGGGAGCAGAACAGGCAGATCGACGAAGTACACTGCTGAGGGGAGCAGCGGGCGGGTCAGGAGAGGTCTGCCACACCATGTAGTCACTTCCGGGGCAGGTGGGATAGAACTCATGCGGAAGTGGATTTAGCTTTTCAGTGCTGTGCTTTAACCTGTTCTGCCACCAGGGAGGGCCTACAATTTGGTTTTTAAGATCTAATGTGCTAGCATAAAACTGAAAAACAGCTAAGAAAAAAAAAGAGCTAAATTTTAGATAGTTGTTGGGGCCACATCATCTGAAAATTTGTTCTTAGTAAATCACCACTGCTTAGTGGTTAGTTCCCCCAAAGGCAGGCCACAGGGCCTTACATATATTAGGACCTTTGAAAGTATAGGTCCTATAGTCCAAACTACTGTGTCTATTTTTTTTTTTTTTAAGATTTATTTATGCAGGCCCTCCCTGGTGGCACAGCGGGTTAAAGCACAGCACTGAGAAGCTAAAGCCACTTCCGCATGAGTTCGACCCCCACCTGCCCCGGAGGTGACACATGGTGTAGCAGACCTCTCCTGACCCTCCCACTGCTCCCCTCAGCAGTGTACTTCATTGATCTGCCTGTTCTGCTCCCCTCTCTGTCTCTGGTGAATCCTCTCACCCTCCGCGTCTCTGGACTGTACCCCAGTTCTGTATGAATAAATAATAATACATCTTAAAAAAAAAAAAGATTTATTTATGCATACAAGAACTGGGATACAGGCCAGACATATAAGGGGTGAGATGACACACCAGAGACAGAGTGGAGAGCAGAACAGGCAGATTGAAATACACCGCTGAGGGGAGCAGTGGGAGGGCCAGGAAACATATGCCACGCTATGTGGGTTAGCTCCCTAGCCAGGAATTGAACTCAGCTGTAGTGGCTGTGGACAGCTTCATAGTGCTGTGTTTCAAACTATTGCATTTTAAACATGAATTCTATATATGCAACTCAGCTTTAAAGTGGTAAGGCCATATCTTAACAAATTGTATAAAATCTGATGCCCCGAATTTCAAAGGAAGTTCAGAAATGTCTTCAAGGTTGAAATAAAGAGCTAGCAGGGAAAAACCCTGGTCATATGGTTTCAATTGGAATTTATATTTATAAACTATAAACTGACCGTGGCTTCTAACCACTAACTGTTAACTGATAAACAAACAAGAGTACCAGTGTTTTATTATAATGAGAATATGCCATACCCTTTGGTTGAATAGAGAAAAGGAATCCAATAAAATTATTACAGGAACAGTAGAAAAATTAATACAAATTAAAAAATCCTCCTTCAAATGGATGATGAGAAACATTTCTTTAGAATATTTACTGAATTCAAATTAGTCTGATAAAGGTGGTTATAAAAAAAGATAAGAATGTGTTGGTAGTAATTATGTCAGAACAGTGACAAAATCAAAACAAAAAAATATAGCAGCATATCAAATAAGATATGATTATAGTTGCAATCACTGCCAATGTCTAATATTTGCAAAATGGAGGCAACGTCTCAAATCTAATTCAGAAGAAAAAAGACAACTGCAAAGTCAGCTGTCTATGTTATGTTCCCTCATAGCTGAAGTTAAATACAAAGCTGACTACACACATGATTAGCTAGTATCATGGCAGTATTAGTGGCTTTGGTTCACTAAAGGGAAAGACTATTAGAAATTTTGTGAGAGGAAATGGATTGCAATAACCACCTCACAGAACTGGAGAGTAAATGTACTGTGGAAGTTTAGTAAACTTAGTATCCAAGTTTACTAATATATTTTATTAAGTGTCCAATGATTTCTGTGTATATATATATAT